TCACCTGATATGAGAAAAGAAACAAACATCTGTCACTGAGCCATTTCTCACCCTACAGCTGAAATAAAGAAAACAAAAACCCAGTTTTTTGGAAAGTTTTGACTGTTTAAAAGATCATCCAGGTTTTGTTGGAGTTTCTCTCATTTCAAATAGCATCAGAAAATGAACCTTTCAGTGATGAAGGCAATTTGAACAATGTAAACAGTGAACGGCTGTATGTATTTTTGATGAAATGCCAGTGTTCTGCTTGCAGTCAGATAATGTAGAAACTGCCTGCCTCTGAATAGAGCTGATAAGAGCATCATACCCATACAGAGGCCTTTCTTTGACAGTTTCTTCTCCACAGGAGTGCAGCTGCAGGCAGATCTGAAGGACGACATGCTCAGGATTAATCCAGCTATGTTTATAAGCTTCGGCACACTGAATTCAGTCCTTTATCTCTATACTATGTTATTATATACATCTGTCTAAATTGCTGCACATTCTTATACTATAAAGTTAAAATTGTTTACCTCCACTTCAAATACATACAGATTTCCTCGTTTTCTGTCATTTATGAATTGTCTGTTATTGTTTACAGCAACTCAATTGGCTCTCAAACTGTCAACACAAGAACCACTGTTAGCACTTGGGGTGACTTTAGTAGTACTCAGGAAGTGTTGGCATCAATTGTCTCAAAATTAAACTGAACAAATTAACTAGCATAGAGAAAATAAGCACTAACAACAGAGTTTTCTGACTTCAAAACTTATATTTGGGAATGACATGAAGTACAACTTAACAGTGTTTTGGATTCCAGACTGAAAAACTACTGCCATTTGCTAATAAACGTGGCTGGTGATCAAGCTCTAAACTGGAGCATCTTTCTCTTAAATCAGTTGTCGCCTCAAAAGAAAACACAGAGAATGATCAAAAATGATTTTGTTGTTGTTTTACTCCCCCAGACCGGCAGGTGGCGCTAAACGTTGGAGTGAGGGACGTGCAAAACGCCTCCACTCAAAGTTAATGGTAAACACAACAGGACTGTCGTAATTCATCTCTGTTCTCTTTTCAGTCAAATAGCAGAGAGTACACTCCACGTAATCATGACCTTTCTAGATGTCGGTGCTTGAAAAACTGGTAACACTTTATTTGAAGGGGGGTGAATAAGACTGACATGACACTGTCATAAACATGTCATAACACCTGTCATGAACATGAATAAGCCTTCATGAATATTTATGACTGTTGTCATAAAGCGTCATTCGGTAAATTATGACACTTTTAATACAAAGTTGACATTATTCAAAATGTCTTTGTTATGACAGCTTGACATTAACCAAGAAATCATTACTGTTTAAACTTTACCTTAATAACATAAAGTTACCTAATTTTTAAAGTGCAATCAGTAATACTTTTATAACAAATTTATATCAGTAATGATTTCTTGGTTAATGTCAAGTTGTCATAACAAAGACATTTTGAATAATGTCAACTTTGTATTAAAAGTGTCATAATTTACCGAATGACTCTTTATGACAACAGTCATAAATATTCATGAAGGCTTATTCATGTTCATGACAGGTGTTGCGTCAGTCTTATTCACCCCCCTTCAAATAAAGTGTTACCGAAAAACGTTGGTATTTACCGAGGTGCGATTCAAACCCTGCAAAGCACTTTCGAACCGAAAGTGAAAAAACTTCTCTGAAGTTTTAGGGGATTTTAGACACAGCATGAGGGGAAACAGAAAGTGCTGGAACTTTCATCAGCCAAATGATTTCAAGTCATATGATGAAGAAATATGACATGGATCACAGTGAGCTGGAGTCTTTAGTTTTTTAAGGAAACACGGTCAGTATTGTCCAGGCCTTCTAAGGAAAAAGTTTCATTTGATAGCTGGATTTTTTACTAATCAGCAAGAACAACAGCCTTTTCTCCCTGGAACTTCCCCATTTGTATCTGTGAGTTTCAAACTCTGAAACAGTGAAGAACCCAGCTTCACAGCTGATCCACGGCGTATTTTTCAAGATCCACTGCACCTCTAATAGAGTCGGTTTTCTCAGATAAACCTCCCACAAACCATTTATCTGTGACATATGTTTTCAGTGCTGCTCTGTCCGATATGAAAACAATCATTATCTGTCTCTTATATCTAATCCCCTACCTAAAGCAGATGCGAGTACATATTTGCAATCTCTCTTTGGGACGAGTGGGATGTGTCAGAGGAATCAATGGTGCAGATCAAGTCTCTGGATCTGTCATTGCTCTCATATATCAAAGACTCAAGTAGGATATTCGGTTTCAAGCAACCATCAGCCCCTGTGTGTCAGACAGAGGAGGGCGGGGAGTTTCGTGTGGCCTCGCTGTGCCACCACTGCTCTAACTGAACCCCGTAGAGCATGAATGCTCAGCACACCGAGTCCCCAAAGCCGTTTTTGAAAGAAACTCACACGTCACTGGGTGTGTGGCACTTTTCACATCCAGACACAACAGCAGTTGAGAAGTGACAGAAAGTGGAATCCTCCTGTGATGAAAACTGTCATCAGACATGGCTATGAAGTGGCTTGTAGAGAGGGAATGTATGTTTGGAAAGGACCCCAAAAACCGTAACATAAGCCTTCACTTCAGGCAGAGATAATGCATGCTTGAGCCTGCAGAGATGAGGCCTGAGAAGCATTTGTAATCTTTAAATTGCTGTGATTTGCATAAAACTTTCCAAAAGGGGCTTTGTTGACTGACGGGCTCCACCTTTTCTCTTCAGCACATTTATAAAAAAATGACTTTAGGATTCTGAAATGTCCCATAAAGTATACAGCTCTGGAAAAAATTAAGAGACCAGGTTTCTCTGATTTTACTTTTTATAGGTATATGTTTGAGTAAAATGAACATTGTTCTTTTATTCTATGAACTACTGACAACATGTCTCTGAAATTCCAAGCACAAATTTAGCATTTATTTGCAGAAAATGAGAAATGGTCAAAATAACAAAAAAGATGCAGCGCTTTCAGACCTCAAATAAAACAAGATTATATTCATTTAGAAACAACAATACTAATGTTTTAACTCAGGAAGAGTTCAGAAATCAATGTTTGGTTTAATAATCATGAGGTTTTCAATGGGGTTCAGTGCACTGGGCTCTTCACTTTTTCCAGAGCTGTATGTTCTGTACCTCAGTAAATTTACCAAATATTATTTCAACAGAAAGTTGTTCCCAATTTAGCCCATAAAAATCTAATTTAAACAAATGTCATCTTAAAATATAGCAGAATAAAGAAAGCAAGTTACTCTCCCCATTCTCTATTCACCATAAAAGTCCAAACGATTTAAGAAATGCAACATGCTTATGTCCAAATTTGATTAGATTAGTTGGCCAAAATATCAGTTTTGGCCAACTAATCAAAGGTTATTTTGCAAAGGATCACAGAGGATTCTTAAGAAGATTTTAAATAATAACTTCAGTGGAGACGTTTTATATGTGAATAAAACTAGCAGAATAAAACTGCTCTTTTATTCTGAAGAGCAGTTAGAGGATTCTGGTGACAAAGCCAGACTACTACGTATGTTTCAAGTGTTTTCCAAGCGATCTGTTAGTGCTCTGCTAAAAGGTGTTAAACTTAAATTGATCTCAGCTGCGGATTTTAATTAATATGCAGTGTTGGGTTTGTTCCTGTTTCTTCCTGTTTTCAACAATCTATAAGTGGCTTAGGTGAGACAAGTTTGGTCAATCAGTTACAGTGACTCCATGGAAAAAGGAGTAGGTTTTGGTACTTTTGAGTGTGTGGGCAGGTGCTAAGTTCTGCTGGAAAAATAAAATCTGCAAGGATGCTTGTCAGCAGAGAGAAGTATGAAGTTTCCCAACATTTAGTGGCTTGATATTGACCTGGATTTGATTAAACACGGAGCACAAAAACAGAAGATGGCACAGCTCCACAAGTAAACATCTACTCTGGAAACTTCACACAGGACCTCAAGCAACTTGTGAATCTCTTCACTCTTCAGATTGTCAAACTTTGATTTATAAAGAAAATAATAAATTCACTGGACAACAGTGTGGTTTATTTTTCTCCCAAGTAAGAGGCTTTTAATGTTATCTTTTTCTAAAAAGTGGCATAACAAAAGAAATGCAGTTGCATCCCTTGTCCCGGATTCAGTGAAGCAATGACTAAAGCTGCTAATGAAATCTTTCTAAGAGTTACCTCACGCACCTTTTTAACCTACTTTTTCCTTCCATTTAATTTTCAATATTCTTGAATACAACACTGTGAAAAGCTAGTCTCTTTATCAATCATCCTTTACAGCTATAAAATTGAATAATACATAGTTGTGATAAACATACAGTGAAAAACTTTGCATATATACATACATAGTAAAAGGAAATCCTAAATGTATATGTTCATGTAGAAATATGTTCTGTACAAAACTATGGAGATTCCTGCAAGGAACAGTGGGAATACAAAGCATTTATCAGGTTTGTTGGGAGGCATACTGGTCCCAGCTGCTGGGAGGAAAACTCTTTGATTTTGTGGCGTGTCCTCCTTGTGGAGGGTGTAAGTTACTGTCTGCTGATAAGTCTCCCCTCAGTCTTCCCCACAATTGCAAATAACATAACATAATAGCAAAAAAAAAAACAACAACAACATAAAACATAGGATAAGTAAACATTCAAATATTAGTTTTTTTTTCTTTTTTTTCGTTGATTTCCTTTTTTTTCTACTTTTTTAGGGGGGTTTTTTGTTTTGTTTTTTGTTTTTTTTTTAGTTTTAGTTTTACTTTTATTCAGGTCTTAAACCCCTTTTGCTTTTCGTCTAGCAACGCCCCTGTCTGGGGCCGTTATTTTAACGCTTTAACGTCTTTTTTCGCAGACAGAGAAGTTTCACATGTTCCGCCTTTACCACATGCGGAGTGTTTTAGGGTTTTATAGTGAAGCTGTTTTTGGAGACCCGGTGCGCGGCGCAGCCCCGCCTCCACGTCCTCCTCCTCCCCTGGGAGGCGGAGAGGGGGGGCCGGCTGACTGTGCCTACTTAATGGGGTAGGTCCGCTTACAGATCACCACATCTAATCACCTCGCTAAACGCGAAAACACACGGTCCCTGTTGCCAACACTTTTCATTATCGGAGAAAGCTAAACATGGCAGAGGTGAGTCTTGTTGTTTTCCTTAATTGATGGAAAGGTTGTTTCCCTTTTTGCTGCAAGGTGATTCTTGTATTAATTAGGGTTAATTCTAAACGTGATTTTCAGCTTTTTTTTTCTTCTTTCTTTTATTCTTAAGAGCAGTTAAAGTTAAGATGGATGTTGTGGTTAGAAACCTAGTTTGTAAAACATTTTCATTTAAAAAAAATTAAAAACATTTCATTTTCATTTTAGGACGACTATCCATTTGAGTATTCTGATAACAACACCTACAACATCTCCGAGGAGTTTCCAGAGCTTGATCTGTTCATCCCGGAGCCATGTGGCCAGTTACTCAGCAGCAACTTCAACAAGGTCTTCCTCCCAACGGTTTATGGAATAATATTCATCCTCGGGATTATCGGCAATGGACTGGTCATTGCCGTCATGGGCTACCAGAAGAAGGTCAAAACGATGACAGACAAGTACCGGGTCCACCTCTCTGTGGCTGACCTGCTGTTCGTCCTCACGCTGCCCTTCTGGGCCGTGGACGCAGCCAAGACGTGGTACTTTGGAGGCTTCCTCTGCGTTTCGGTGCACGTGATCTACACGCTGAACCTGTACAGCAGCGTCCTGATCCTGGCCTTCATCAGCTTGGACAGGTACTTGGCGATTGTCCATGCCACCAACAGCCAGGCCAAAAGGAAGTTGCTGGCCAACAAAGTGATCTACATTGCAGTGTGGCTGCCGGCTACCATCCTGACCGTGCCTGACCTGGTGTTTGCCCGGGTCCAGGATGTAAAGTCCTCCAACTACTTGTTCGTGGAGGACAGCATGGAGAGCACCGATTCCAGAACTATCTGTCAACGCATCTACCCTGGGGCAAGCAGCCTGATTTGGACGGTGGTTTTCCGCTTCCAGCACATCCTGGTGGGCTTCGTCCTGCCCGGACTGGTCATCCTCGTCTGCTACTGCATCATCATCTCCAAGCTCTCCCAAGGCGCCAAGGGCCAGGTCCTGAAGAAGAAAGCTTTGAAGACCACAGTGATCCTCATCATTTGCTTCTTCGGATGCTGGCTACCCTATTGCACCGGCATCTTTTTGGACACCCTTATCATGCTGGACGTCGTGCGCTCTTCCTGTCAGCTGCAGCAGGCGGTGGAGACATGGATCTCAATCACCGAAGCATTGGCCTACTTCCACTGCTGCCTTAACCCCATCCTGTATGCCTTCCTGGGGGTGAAGTTCAATAAAACCGCCAGGAGCACGCTCACAAATAGCAGCAAATCAAGCCAGAAAGTGACTCTCATGGCCAAAAAGCGCGGGCAGATTTCTTCTGTGTCCACAGAGTCCGAGTCTTCCAGCGTTTTAACAAGTTAACCGGCAGTTAATGTTGGGAGTTCTTGACTTTACACTCTCAGGAGAGACTTAAAAAAAAACGAAGCTTTATTTTAAAGAACTTACTACATTTTGTACACATGTAAAAAAAAAAGAGTTTTTTGTTTGGTTTTTTTATACTTGGTTGTTTGTTTGAGTTGAAAACTGCAGTTGTGTGTGTTTTGTTACATTTGTTTCCCAATTGTTCATCTTCTGAAGTAGCATTGTGTCCTGGTCAGTACCGATTTCCCATTCAAGATCCATTATCTGTATTATTCTCACGGACTGTGATGCTCCACCACGGATCTTATTTGTTGTCCTCCACTGGAAGCTGCTTTTGTAAACTTTGTACATAGTTCTGTTTGTAGCATTTGTGTGTGTCACACTTGAGTTGCGTGAATAAGTGAAAGCTATAATTTATTGCTGTCGTTTACACTGGGCTTATGCTTGATTTAAGAAAGTTGCTTTTTGTACTTGTTTTTTACTGTAAAAATAAAAGTGTCTTGTACTTTCCGTGACTGTTGTGTGATGAGGGGGTTTTACCAACCCTCCCCTTTGGGGAGTTTGTGGGCGAGTAGTGGTGTGGGGGGTAGAAAGTCTCCTAACAAATGTCACCACCTGAACTGGCCTGAAATGCAGAAGGACTGCACAGACAGACCCTGTAATTGCAGGAACATCTGTGCACTTTACATCTTAACCAGACAGTGACACAAAGCAAAAGAAATCTCTTGGAATTAGCATCCATATGGCTCTTAAACAAAGCAATTAGCATGTTAAGTTTTATTTTCTTTCTTTCCCAGTTTGCAAGATATACTGCCTCCTTTACGTTTGGCTTGTAAACAAGCAATATCCTCATTCACCTCATTGAAAGGGTCATTGGGTCAGCTTAACCATTAAATGGATCACAAAAACTGAAATAAATGTATTCAGTAGATGCAAATAGCCAGGCATTGTCTCTTATGAGGGGTTTTGTGATACATCATTTGCATGAATTTGCTGCAACAAGAAAACCGCAACATTTGACCTTAAAATGGCTTCTTTTTGGACATTTAGCCACATTAATCTCTTTTAACTAAGATATATGTTATAAATGTAATCAGTGCTGAACTGGTGACAAAGACTGATGTTCAAGTTGGGAGACCAAAGGAAGCGGACAACAATTGATGTCAAGGAGAATGGAGCCATCGAATGCCCTCTGTGTAATACCACAGCCCTGGCATTCACTCTAAACTCCCATGGAGATACATTTCCATATCTTTACGTGGAGAGGAAAAAAGTGTGAAGTGCTTTCATTAAGTCAAAGGGTTAATGCCTGTTTTGGTGCAGTGAACCAGTTTAAAACAAGAGGAACTTTTCAAAGTTGGGAATGTAGCCAAATGAGCCTCATTTAGCATAAAACCTCATCCTGTGCAGGGAGATCTGCCTCACTTGTATCTCTTCAGTTGCATTTATGCTTTATAGACAAGAGAAAGTTTAATTCCCAGCCTGGAAAAAAAAAAAAAGCACAGCTTTTACAGTTTAAATTAATACAGCAACTGCTGTGGGTGGAATAAATCTCACAAAAGTATTCATGTCCTTTAAATTATTTAATATTTTTGTTCTGTTACGACAAACTTTGTCTACAATTAAAAATCTGAAAGGTTTGGTATGTATTTTTAGTCATCTCGTCTTAGTCAACCACCTTTTGCTTTAAGTACTGCTGTAAGTTTTGCAGTTTGTCCTCAGCATGAGTCCTATGTTGAACTTTCTTGGCCACATTCAAAGCACTACAGACCATAAAACACAGTAGTGGTGGTGGTAACATCCTGGGTTTATACTAGTGACAAGAAAAAAAGAGACAAGAGTTCTGTTCTCAGCTTGACACAATACATGTAGTGGACCCAAAAAGAACACAAATGAAGGTTCTCTTTTCACATGAGACCAAAGTAGAACCTCATGGCAGCATCATGCATCATGTGTTTGTCCTCAGCATGGAGAGGGAGTTGCAAGGGGTTAATAAGAAGACAGAAGGAAAACATGATATAGGCTGCAAAAGACTTTAAACAGAGTCAGAGGTTCACTTTCCAACAGCAAAACAACCCCCCAAAATATATCCAGATCTCTAATAAAATGGTGTAGATGAAAGGATGTTCATGTCTTAGAATGGCCCAGTCAAAGCACAAACCCTAAAGATCAATTGAGAAGATGTGCAAGACAAGATATTGATGGATCCTGTCCCACCTAATCTGGCTGAGCTTGAGCTTTTCCAAAGAAGAATGGAAAAAATGAATGATTAACTCAGGGGAGCTGAATACAAATGCACACAACACATTTTAGACTTTTATTGCAGAGTTTTTCTGACACATTTTGCACTGTATTTAATTTAGGGACATCAGAATAAAAAGGACTTACGATGTACTCTTTGCTTTTAAAAGTTTGATTAATAAAAGCATTATCAAATATGTCCAACCTAGTGTTGGTCTGTCACAAAAAATCCAAATAAAACACACCGAAGTCTGTCTATCAAACTGTAATCAATTAAAATGATAAAAGTAAGGAGATGAATGGGTTCTGCTTCTCTACAAACTGACTTTGGTCTCCAGATAGGCAGTCCTGTTAGGAATTCACATTTTGGGTACAAGAATGTTCCCTTCCATTCATTATTAAAGCTTTCATTCTCTCTGTGTAATGACAAACTACAATATTCAATATCACACATCTCTAGCGCCTCCTTCAAAGGAGCAGTTTAGGAAGTGTCTACCTTCTAAATTTCAAGAGTAAATGCACAAAACTGGTGTTCAGTTTAAATGTTTTAAACTTACATTTGATGAGTCAAAACACACTCATTCAAATATTTCCCTGCAGGAAGGTCGGTATCCTGGGTTAAAGGCTAAAGTTGTTGGGGAGAACAGGAAATTGCTCCTACTGGTGATTCATTATCTCTACACCTCCATATCTGCAGCTTTAAACGTGGATTCCGTAAAATTACTCAGCCTTACTTAACTGTTAATGTGGGGCACTGTAAAAACAGAAAAGTACAGCTTTGCAGATGCCAGCTTAAAAGAACAAATAGCCCGAGCTCCTTTTGTGCAGTGACACGCTCCGCAAAGGTTACACTGTTTTAGGGAGGAAAGTGAACGACAGGAAGCCTGTTTCCTGCATCAGGAGCTCCTGTGGCCAGCAGCCTGAGAAAAGCTTTAAAGACACCCCCGCTGAATTCAAACCACCGTCACTCGCTGTGCCAGTCCGTTCCTGCAAAGGTTACTGGATACCTGTGTGCACTTAGAGCACTCAAGCAAAGGTGTGAATGTTCAGTTGAATTTTACACTTTCTGTGAGAGTAAAGCAGCCCCCACATGCTAATTACCTGCTGTTAGTTGTTCATATGACTTGTATTTCACGTGGACTGATTTATCTATGTCATATAATGAAGTGTAGTTAAAAAAGTGTTTTGCATGGTACTAAAGTCTTTCAAAATTATCACTGCTGCACGTGGCAGAAGTGTGTTTTCTGAAGTCTCTGAAGTCAATAATTAACTGTGGCATCAGTGTAGAAGGTAAAAAACAGTCTACAAAGTCTAACCCCCAGCCCACAAAACAGAAGAAGAACCCCAAGATAAGAGCACCAGCCAACCACAAATGCAACGCTGCAGTTCCTAATGCCTCATATAGATTGGGCAAAGATTTATAACTGAGGTTCAGATGACAGCAGGCGTCTTTTATTTAAACGTATCCATTGAACTTTACATTTACATGTTGCAGCAGTATTTTATCTGGATTTTAGCAGATAGATCAAGACAAAGTAGGACATATCCCAACCAAGGGAGTTATTTGCCTCATCATGAACATGGAAGCTGCTCAAAGATAAATACATGACAATAAGGAATTCAAACTTATTAGATACACAAAAAAATAAAAAATAAAAACTGGGACAAGGGTTCACCTTTTCGTAGGACAAAAAGACAAAAACATGGAGTCAAAATGGAATGACTTGGGTCAAAATATATTCATGACCTAGTCAAAGTCCAAAATTACAATACAACTAAGAACATGATGCAATACTTGATAATGGATGTTCATGCTCTCAATCTAATCTGTTTGAGTCTGACTTATACTACAAAAAATAATGACAAAATAATATTTTATATGCAAAACAAAAACAAACAAAAAGAATGTTTCATTTTCCTTATAGTGCAATAGTATTCACTAATTGTGTTGGTCCTTAATACAAATAGGTTTGTTGTAATAATTATTGCTCCTTGACAGGTGGAAATCCTATAAACTGGATGGCTTCTTGCAATCAGTTAGACTTTCTTAGACAAATGCCTTTTTACTTTTTGGCCTATGAGAACTTTATATTAAACTGAACTTAATTAAATTGTGTTGCATTTGGAACTGAATTTGATCTGATTCTTACAATTTATTAGAGCGCTTTGGAATGAACAGGTTTTATATGAACTGAATTTAAACCAAAATAGATTCTGCAAATCTGGGCATTAGATGACTTCATTTCTGTAATTTAGTTTGATGGTAAAATTATTTGTTGCTTTGAAGTTCTGCACAGTCTGAGGAAATTACCTCAGACGCATTTCCCTACATATGTTTGATCTATTTTGTCTGCTCCGGACAAACGCTAATAAGGCGGAACTACAGTCTGTAACTCGTTTCCAGCCGGAACTGTGCTCGGTCAAAACAGCTCCTTCCTTCCTGATCCCGTCCATGCTGTGAACAGCTGATGCGGTCTTTCTTCCTCTAGCAAACAGTTGTAAAAAAATTTTATCCCAACTTTCCAAGAATAAAATTGGACATGACGAAAGAAGAAGCAAACGGGTAAGAGCGCTGTGAATGTAGCGTTTGCTGTAGCACAGCTCTCAGAGCTGCATTTTGATTTCACCTTGTTGCTAACAAGGCTAGAAGCTAACTTGCAGCGAATTGCATCAGCAATCACTTTCATTTCAGTTTGATAAAGTTTAATTTAGCAGTTTATTGAAATTAACGGAAGACCACAAACGACAAAGCACGAAAAACAACAAGATAACAACATGCCACGGTTTATACATGCACGTAAGCAGGATATTTTCCCTACAGAAACTAATGAAACAGACAGTTGATATGTTGATATGACTTTTACCCGGCTGTTTTCAACACAAAGTTCATCATTGTGCTAAAACCTGATGATTTAAAAAAATTAAAACACCCTTATCAAAAAAGTATTTACAATTTGTGACAATTATTGGTCATTCAACAGTAAAATGTACATTGTTATTACAAGAAACGACTGTTGATTCTAATTACTTTGTTTTCCAATAAAACTTTTCTTCGTTTTAAAAATTAGAAAGGAATCTCGTAAAAAATGTTTATCGTGTGCTTTTTAATTGTAGCGTACACAGAACGTGCCATTATCTAATTATAGCAACAATAGTGATCGTAGTAGCTCCCAATTATGTCACTGTTTTATTATTATTTTTTTTACGTAACATTTCCGCCACCTTGCTTGAAGTTTATAATCTTGGGCATTTAGATTGTCGTTAGAGATAGACA